CGTGCAATCTTGTGCCCAGGCGTTTGCCCGTTTCCCCAACATACTTCGCATCACAATTTCGACATGGTATGCTGTAGACCACGGCTGATTGCTTGGTTGCTGGCAGCGGGTCTTTGGGCTTCATGATTTGCTGTCTGATTGTAAAACCTGGTTTATGCGCCATGTACACGCAGGGCCAAAAACCTTTTCGCATACATACATATGCCCGCCTACAGATATCGTGCCTTCATATTGACAGGAGTTATTGAAAGCTTATACGTAAAATGGAACAAAGGAGACCTAGTCCATTTGTTGCTGAGTTGATACGAATCCAACAGAGCCAGTCTCCTGTGAAAACAGATGCTGCTTTCTGTGTGGTTAGATACTATGTTAGTTCGTCCCTATTGTTAGAAATCTAACAATGCTGCTGAACATTACGTTTACAAGTGTGATAGAAGCTTCCAACTGCGGGACAGGCACATTTAAATGGTGAGCAGTTTTCATGTCACACAACATAGGCGACGCAATTGGGAAGGTAAAATATGTTAGTGGTCATGTCCTAGAGAAGCAGAAGCCATGGAATTATGCTGTGGATATTAGATTTCATCAGTTGATGTAACATCCTGACTTACTAAGTCACTGTACGTCAGTTTCTATAGTGATCTCGGAGTTCTTGAAATATAAAAGTTTAGTTAACTAATTTATTCTTTTACTTAAGCAAGTCTTTTGTTCTTTTGTGCCAGCCTCTAGTCAGTCTAAAACCTATACGTATTAATGGCCCTCGTGCGCAACTCCCCTTAATACAATAACAGTAGCATCATCAGCTTCACGTTCTGTAAGTTTAAGGACAATAGGAGTAGAATAATCAAGAAGATTCCACAAGCGTTCAAGATACTTCCACTTGGACTAGTGTCACCAATTCCCCTACCATCCGATGTATATCGGCTGCCTCTACATGGAATACTGATAGCTCCGGTAAAGAAACTAACGCATGCGTCAGCTCCTTAAGTTTAAATACAGAAGACAAAACAATGCCAGCAGATGATTTGGATAGCGGAGCTACCGCCTTAAGCAACTGCATTACATCCATATCCTCCTTGTCACAAAGTTTACCAAGCGATACCCAAACAAGCGCTCCGAGAACCCAAACGATGAAACACATTGAGCCGTATTTGCACCCAACTCCATCTTCGAAATCAGACAGATTGAAACTAA